CACACACACACACACACACACACATATATATATATATATATATATATATATATATATATCCACATATAATGGCATCTGAGTTTGAAGAAGTGAGAGGGGTTACCTGTCTATTAAAACAAATCCAACCTCAGGCAGTTGTGTTTAATGTAGATGTGTAAAAGGTGTCAAGAAGCATCGTATCACAGCGTATGACCTGCAGGTAAAGCTGCTTTAACAAGCCTCTCAAGGTCCAAGGTTCATCAATGATTTACTGCACGGCCGCTCATGTTAACACTCCACTTATGCATACTGATTATGTACCGCTGAAGCGCACACACTCTGCATGCACACGCAGCCAATTAGCCTTTCCAAAGCTCTCTCTCATACACACACACACATACACACACACACACACACACACACACACACAAACACACACACACACACACAGACTGATCAGAATTTAAAGGCAACCTCTTTACCTCGCATCATTTTGCTACGCATCACATAACAAAACAAGATGGTAGTAAATGAGGTGGAATTGATTTCAAATATTCCGAAGAACAATGGAATAGCAGGAATTTTCTTTCTGGTTTTAGCTTTTGGGAATAAAGGTTTCTAGAATGGGCTTTAAAATAGAAACATTGTATGCATGTACAATATATAAGGGAGCATTATTTGAACAGACAGAGTATGTTGCTAATTGGACGCTCATACGTGATCAAACCTAGTTCAAATCAACGTTCCCCCTTGAAGTGAATTGGAATACCATCCATTTTCCGATCCGCTTTATCCTCACAAGAGTCACGGGGGAGTAGGCAGGGGACACCCTGAACCGGTTGCCAGCCAATCGCAGAGACCAACAAACATCCACGCTTTGAGTGTTCAATCAGCCTCTGCCATGCATGTTTATGGAATGTGGGGGGGTACCGAAGTACCCGGAGAAAACCCACGCAGGCACGGGGAGAACATGCAAACTCCACACAGGAAGGCCAGAGCCGGGATCGAACCGGGTACCTCTGCACTATGAGGTAGACGCGCTAACCACTGAATCACCGGGCCGCCAATTGGAATGCTGTTACCTTTTATCCATTCAAAGATCCTTGAAACACTCCCCCCCCCCCCCCCCCCCCAAAAAAAAAACATGAATATGAAATAACTGTTCCAAAATGCGGTACGGTATTCAGTACGGTACATCTAGATGTGTTCAACAATTCAGGACAGAGCACGTGTGAGCAAAAATATTGGAAATCGATCCGATCAGAGCTACGCAACAAACATTGAGCGCAGCCAAAACGACTTTTTGGAACGTCCCGAAAAAGAAAACAAATGGTGTAACAGAGCAACATATTTTGAAGAGGTCGGCCAAAGGTAGCAAGAGAGCAGGGGCAGGCAGATGTCCGCCGCGATGCCACCATATGGCTCACCTCTCGCACGTCAACTTGAAATTCGCACATCAAAGCAAAACTGCAACAACAACAGCAACAAAAATGGCTCATATCTTTAAAAAAAAAAAACAAACAAACACCGAAGCCAGGTGACTCGTATTTGAATACGCCACTCACGACGTTTTTTGCTTCCTCTTCCTCCTCTTGATCATGTGAACGGTGCCATATTGTGTCATTTATTGACGTTTTTTTTCCTTCCTCTGCGGTATTTGCTTTCTTTAGGTTCTTCAAATAAAGCAATCAATCACGCCACGAAACGGAATATTTCCAGCAGCTGTTAAAAAAAAAAGAAATCCTCCCACAGACAGACAAGAGGAAGAAGAGGTTCTTCAGCTGAGATTTACTGTTGCACTTTATGAGCGCTGAGACTGCAGCTCGGTAAATCCTTCATCATTGTGCTTTTATGAGAGAATTTGAGCTCTTCGGCCAAACAGCGGCCACCTCAGATTTCTGTCTGACACGAGTGGGATATTTTGAGTTGCTTGGCTTCGTCAGACGAATGTGCACGCGTTGCAATTCGATGAGATGTGAGGGAAGCTCCCGATCTCCGTGCTGCGTTCACGTGCATGCTAATGACGCGCAGCAGGGAGCCACTCGTGTAGAAGAAGAATAGCGTCCCCCCCCCTCCCCTTCTTCTATAACTATTGTAATTACTTGACGCACGGATGCATGGTGTGGATAGCGCTCCGATTAAGTAAGATTTGCCATCATGGATAAATTATGAAGTCAACCGTTTTTGACAAGATACAATTTGCTACAGGCGACGCAATAACAGTTCATACGGTACATTCTCAGGCTTTCCTGCATGTTTCCTTCTTCCAACATAGCTGACTGAGATTCAAATGATCAGTGATCGTGAATAGGTTTCTTCAATGTTACAAAAACAACTTTTTGTGCAGTTGACATCAGTTTCGCTGTACTTGGCGGAGGAGGGCGGGTCAAACTATAGCCAAATAACTTTGCCTTGACTAACACTGTCCAAATAAAATCTAAAATGATTGGATACAGTGAACATCTGTCAGGTTTTGATGTGGTTGAGGACCCGAAAGCAGAGAAGCAAGGCAGGATTGCACTGAGGAAAAATTGAACCGTAATCTCGAAAGATCAACAAGGTACATGGAATCAAAAATAGAAAATCAATAAAGTCCAAAAAAAAAGATTCAAAGTTGCAAACAAACACCGGGAGAAGACTCAACAGCTCAACGTGACGGAACATGACAGGAAACACACACAACGGAGCGGCGAGGACCAAAGCGAACCAGGTGACTAAATAGGAGCCAAGTGACGCGTTAACGAGGAACACCCGCAAAAGTGATTGACACAAGGGACCCAGCGGGCTGACAGGAACAGGCACGCACAAAAACCTTACGAGACAAACAAGACGTGAAGAAAGGGGAACAGGGGAAAACACAACGCTAAACCCAATCAAAACACAGAGCAGGACAGCCCCCGTTCATCATGGGGGTGGGGCGGAAGTGGTGAAAGCCACACCACAGCATATGGCTCAGCTTGGTTGCGGTGCAAGATAACCTAAATGGGTATGCCACTGTTGTGAAGCCGCGTCTGTGTGATATTAAGAGTGTAGCGTTTTGGTGAATGAACTAGTAGGAGCAAAACATGACTTCAGGTCAAATGGCAGACGGCATTCAAAGGCAGACATCACACTGCGTGCGCGCGTGTAAAAGGTCGATCGTCAGGTTGGTTGCTTGAAAATTTGATCTTGGGTCAAAAAAGGCTGGGCGCCCTCTGATCGACACATGACACAGACAGCTGCACGCATCTCGTGGAGGACAACTTCACCGGATCATTTTGACAGATGCTGCTAATATCATCTGGCCTTACACCTGAGGGGAGGGGACGGGGAATCCAAGCATATTTTGTGGCGGCGGGGGGTGTCAGTGCCCCCCTCTTTCCCCTCTAGCTCCGCCAGTGACAATTACAAATAAATAAGTATAGCAACTCTTCGTACATGACAAATTAAATAAAAAGTGATGAAAAAACAGAAAGCAGACTAATGAAATGATATTATTAAGCAGGCACGCCCTTCTCGGTCGAACATTATTGAAGGATCGGCGGTTAAGGAGAGGATTTTTGGTCCAAAAGGAAGTCAGCGGTTGGCGGGAGATTCTACATTGGCAGCCTCACAGCCTGCGACGGAAGGGAAGAGGGACTGGATGATTGAAAGCTCTTGTCAACAATTTATGGGCTCGCTCATGTCAAGTGTGAGTACACTTGTGCCAACAAACACTCCCAGAGTACAGCTCAATCAATAAAGCGCCCCGCCCCGGCCAGAGACGCTCACCCCGCCGTTGCATTCGTTGCGGAAAGACACAGAGCAGACAGCAAAACAGAGAAAACTTCAACAATTTTATTTGTGAAAAACTACAAGCAAAATTCATAAATAGACATTTCTATTTGAAGCAAGAAGGGGAAATGATCAGGCTAAGCCGATAAGCGCAAAGTCGTGCACATGCCAGGAACGGGTCCTATTTCAACATCAGAAGCTGGACGAAGAAGCTGTGATCCGCTTGAAAACGCGACGCACATTTCAACAAAAGAAACGTGGAAGCGGGGTGGAACAATGACACATCAGCTCAAACCCAAGAAGGAAAACGTAAAGCATTAAACAAAGAAATGGATTCTCCGACTGTCCGGCAAATGTTCCCGCCTTTCTTTTCAAACAGAGCAATAAATTCCAAAAGCATTTGCACAAGACATCTTAGAGGAAGAAATGAGTTTGTACAAGACACGGAGTCGGGGTCTCGCGTTGAAGGGATACAGTCGGTAAACAAGCGTTCTCTCTATTTGCATCTCTGACAAACAAAGCTAAAAAATAAAAAAAATGTAACCATCTTTACACAGTAAATTAAGGTTACTGGTGGCACACAAGAACAGAACTGCTTGCGCGGAGAGGAAACGAGGGACGAGAGACGTCAGCTTCGATGCCATTTCATCGTGTTTGCAGGTGTGAAAACGATATGTACAAGCGATGCACCGTTTACTCCGATGACCATTTGGCAAAAGTTGAACACAAATCTTTTCACTTGCGCTACTTTGCGGTGGCAGATAAGGCAAGCGAAACGACGGCTGCTTTCGGCCCATTTCGGAAAGATTGCGTGACAAAACGGGGGCTGGTTATTTTGGGTTGTGTAAAAAAAAAAAAAAAAATTCCAACATTTCAGCCCATTTTATTCACTTGGCTTCTCCCCCACTTTGAACACTGATGGCATTATTTGTACGCAATAAAGCACATGATGACATTGGAGCCATTTCTTAAAAAAAAGCCATTCAAAAAAGTCTGAAAGAAATAAACGATATGAGTTGCAAAAATGATTCTCCCCTGGTGAGAAAGTGCCTGTGAAATGGCGCCCTCAAATTTTGCCGGCACGGACCTCGGTCACAACCTGAGCTGTTGCAGGCGCGGGGTGCTGGCGGGGGCGGGGCTACATCTACATTGAGTGGTGGGTCCACTCAGCCCGTGTCCGGCGTGCCGCGCACAGCAAGATTGAACAAGAAGAAGACCATTAACAGGGATTATATTAGTCTTTATTTATTTCAACTGTTATTCATCTCAAACATTAGATAATTTGCAGTAATTGCATTTCAAATTGTTATTCCTCTATGTATCATGTCAATATGAAATTCCTTTGGTCCTTCAATAAATAAAACTAAGATATCATATACACATTTATTCTTTATACAATTTCATACAGGGAAAAGGAAATTAGGTTGTTCTCGTATCAGCGTCGGGTGGAAGTCAATGAGAACCCTCGGACAAAGCCTCGCGGTTCGAAAATAGGAAAGCGCGATTGTGATTTGAGGTTCGCCTCCGGATGACCGCGGCCTTTAAATTATGATTGAGCAAAAAAAAAAAAAAAAAAAAAAAAAAAAAGAAACAAGAACGACATGAAACTGTCAAGAACTGAACTGGTTTGCGGTTGCTTCTCGCGGGGTTTTTCGGTGTCACGAGAAAAATGTCAGATGCCGACAGACCCGCATCGGTTTCACCGAGACGAACCGCCGCGCACCCGTTCCTTCAGTCGCCTCGGGAGAAACTCCCAATTTCCAACTTCACCTCGAGCCAGGAAAACTCAACATTTGCACAACGGAAACGGAGCAAATACCTACAGCTTTTAGTGTTTTACACAACAGCCTACACTGTACAGTTAAGGACACAACAATACTGGATAAGATTATTCGTTCAAAGTGGACTATTTGGACTTGTGACGCACACAGCAGCAGCCATGAGGAAGGTCCCAACAGTGTTCAGAGTGAGACAGTATTGTGGAGGGAAGGGAGTCACGTTCGATCGGATTCTTCATCACGTTGAGTGATTGGGAGATCTGCAAAACTTTTCACAGTGTATCTAGCACCTTTTTGTGTGTGTGTGTGTGTGTGTGTGTGTGTGATCTGGCATCATTTCAAACTGCATTAAAAACACTGAGGGAACGATCGGTCGGTCGGCAGAGCTAAGCAGCCAAGCTTCAACATCATCAGGAAAAAATATCAAAGAATACAGGTGCAACAGGTAATAAATAAGGGTACAAATAATAATAATAACAAAACAAGGGTGGTTATTGTGCCTGGCGGAGAAATGTTGGACAAAAACTAAAAGGTCGACTTGGCCTCACATCCACGTCCAAATATAAAACAATACATACAAGTGTCTTGACGCTAGCATGGGCGTTAACGCTCGTGTAGTCCGCGGCTCCTGTTCCCGCTCCCGCCGGAGACCTTCTTTTGCGCGCCGGGGTGCACCCGCGCTACCTTCCTCCAGGCCGCATCCAGGTGGGTCATGGAATGGAGGCAGCGCCGCCGAGGGGGGAAGGTCAAAAGTCTCTCCCCCCACCCTTTGCGATCCATCGTGTCCAACGTGGGGGTGTGTGAAAAGGGGGTCGAGTGGGCGGGGTCAACGGAGAACGGGGCCGGCGGCCCTCAGAAGGACTCGTCGTGCCCCACGGAGAGATCGCCTTTGGGCGTGGAGGCGCGCGACGAGCCTTTGTCCATGCTCTCCGAGCCGGAGCTCTGGTGCTGCTGTTCGGAGCCCGTGCTCGACGTGATGGTGGACGAGGACGTGGACGAGGAGCGGCTCTTCTCCTTAAAGTCTGTGATGATCACCGTCACGTTGCCCACGGTGATGGCCAGCTGCTGCGCCGTGCTGCGGTCGACGTTCTTCAGTTTGGGCCTGAGGGAGAGAATTCGGGAGAAAAGGTCAGCGGCTTCAGCGGCGCATCGGGGCCGCGAAGACAAGCGCGAGCGCGCCTTCCCACTCGCCGCATCCGTCGGCGTTGCCCGCAATCATTGTCCAGCGGGCACCTTGACATTCGAGCGGGGCCGTTACGTGAGACACAGACCTGGAAATGTGATTGTTCTTGTTGGTCTTGGTTGCCGATTTGCCAGACTGTATGCTCTGCTTGTCACTGGGTGGACTCGGGTGGCTGTCGGATTTGGGTCTGCGGGAGGACCGACACAAAAGAGCGGTCAGGCGACGGGCCCCCTTGGCAAAAAGGTCTCCTTCCCCGCCTCGGCGCCCACTCACCTGCTCTTTTTGATGCCGGGGGGCTTCTTTGTGATGGACGGGATGATGTCTTTCTCTCTGTCGGCTTTGTCTTGGACCGGCTGCTCCTTGTCACTCTTGTCCTTCTCGGGAGGAGGCGTGTCTCTCTCGGGCCTCACTATCTCGGGGCGCTCGCTTTCGGGGCGAGCCTCCCCGACGGCGCTCTCTCCTTCGCCGTCCGCCCGCTCCCTGTCCGGGCGCTCGCTTCGCTCCCGTCGCTCTTTTTTAGCCGGGGGCGGCATGGGATACTGCTGGGCCGCCTGCTGGGCCACCAGCTGGGAGTTGATCCTGGGTTTCCTGTGGAGGACAGCCAACTATGGATTAGCCTCTTGATGGAGCCCCCGCGGCCAAGTGTGCTCACGCAACAGGCAACGAGCGAGCAGCTCGCGCACGAAAGGGCCGCCACTCCCGGTAGCTCTCGTGCGGCGCTGTTTGAGAGCTAATCTCATTAGAGCGCGGCCGTCATAAAACGAACGGCGGGGATCGCAAGGTGGGACATTTGCAACACATCGCCGAGGTCTTCTAATCTGATTACAGCAGGCACGGCCCCATTCGTCACAGAGTCGAGACGCGATGGAGCTGCCGCGCCGCCGGGACTCTCGCAGGTGCCCGAAGCTCAGCCTGTCCTGTGCTAGCTAGCATAAGCCGCATCGTTACTCAAACAGACAAAGTAATAATAATAATAAAGAGTCCAAAGAAGAATCAATATGTCAGCACCTCGGCTCCCGTTGTCGATCCATACTGGCGAAGCATCTTGACAACCTCATACTCACAAGTTTAAAAAATAAGATCCAAGACATTGAAATGCTTCGCAAGCAAGCGCACGAAGGCTGTTCAAGAGTTCGGCAGAGTCTTAACACTCCTTGTCGTCTACTTGGCCAACACTTTCAAACATTAGACAGTCAGATTATCGCTCTGCGGCCCACAACAAATGCATCTAATCCCCCCCCAACACTTTCAAACATTAGACAGTCAGATTATCGCAACAAATGCATCTAATCCCCCAGGGGCCCGGCTATTTCAGACAGTTCCACCGCGAGCGCAGCGGGCGGGATTGCGGAGTTGACCACAAGTCAATCAATGGGGCCATAATAGAGCATCATGTCACGATGCTTCGCACCGCTCTCAAATCAATACACCAGCTGTCGCCAATGATGATGAGCCGTGGGGCTTTGGCACGATGCTTTTTTATTTTTTTTTTTGCGTGGTTCGACGGCGCCCCCGGGCTCTTGCCCTTCGGGGACCATTAATGGGCTCATAAATGCTAATATGGACTGAAAACATTCATCTCATCTTGGCTTTTCGTTTGTAAAATATCCCATCAAGCCGAGGAGTCCCCAGCGACCAGACCGTGGGGAGCAGTACCCGGCTAAAGAAACGGCATTTTGTCCACAGGTGTGTCTTAGCTGTGCTGTGCAACCCGCTTATTATTCCACTAGCCCGGATTGCGGTTCAATCAAGTATCACAACTCATTTGTCATTTTGTTCCAGCCCAAAACTAGTCCATAAATAATGAATATTAACCATAAATGAATATTGACTCGGCATCAAGAGATGTGCGGCACGCGTGTCAATGTGTGTATCAGCGTTTTCGCTTTTCGATACTCGTCGCAAAGTATCTCATACTGCATTCCTTCCAGGACCTGAACATTCTCTCGGCCATGATTTGAGGCTGGGAAAGCCCACATTGATTGCAGAAGTACAAAATGCGGACATTCGGCCAACGGCGCATCAGGCTTCCGTACCGCAATACCCGGTCATGCTTGAATCGTATATCCAGTAATGGGCGGGGAATTAATTACAAGTGCCTGTTTATCCAGGAGGGGGGGAAACGAAATATTGATTAAAATCAACACTGCTGATGTGTGTCACGGTTTGCGACGAGAGCAGAAGCTGGCTTGTGGTTACGTTGTGGGCTCAGTGGTTTGGTGCTGCAGCAGCAACCGACATTGACTTAGTGGTCAAACTTGAACGCACAACATGGGTCAATTACGTGGACTTTTTTTTTCATCATGAAAACAAGCAAGCGGCATTGATAGTCATTAAATATGGACACATTGCATGACATAAATGAACGAATATTCTCCGCTTCATGCGGCAAGAACCATCAAAGCCGATCCAATATAAAGCGTGAGAATGCTTTTGCAAGAGGAGGCCCAACCTGGAGCCGACTCGGGAGTCCAACTGTTGAAATTGCTCCCCCAACACGCTGCTCGCTGCCAAGACGTTCCTGGCGAGTCACACCGAGTGAGCGCAAGCCCTCGCAGCGGGAAATCCTTTGACGCTATCTTACCTCCCCTTTGCACTGCAACGGACGACTGGCGGCCGCCCCTCTTGTGTACGCATCGATTCTGAAGCTGTCGGCAGGATGTGTTGTCATTGGTCACAGGAAGGCCCAAAGTTACTGGTGCTATCTTGAAAAGCTCCTAACGTAGTCGGATCTCGGTGAAGCTACGCTTCTCAGCTCAGATACTATTTGTCAAGAGGGTTTTTTTTTTTTGTGTCAAGAACATTTCGCATTTTGTGAGGAAAGATTGGCGACCCAGACAAACCACCGGAAAGACTCACAACAACACAAGAATTCTCGCGACTTGTGCCAATCAATCACACGCTGCAGTACTGCACGTGTGTGATAGCCACTGGCTGTCTTGCTCGCTCACTCAAAGTTCACCCCGCACGCAAAATGTCCACTTTGGCCCGTCATCTCGCGAAACACGTAGCGACTGGCATCGGAAAACTTGGCATCTCTGTATTTCTTGATGTGAAGCATCAGAGCGAGACAGCGGAAGCCCGTCAGAACACGCAGAAGGCGATTCATGGAGAGAACGGGTGAAAGAGATTGAGATGGAGCGCGAGCAACGGGAAAGCCCGAGTGAACGCAGGCAGCTCCTTAACTCAAGAAGCTGAAGAGGACAGGCAATTATTTCCTGCCGCGATGAGTGAATGCGAGGGCTGGAAACGAAAGAGCTCAGACACACAGAGGGACCCAACTCAGACCAACGACCGTGCACTGACTCATTGACACATCACACAGCCAATACCAACATTGAGCACCAGCACAAAAGGGATTTATTTCATCCCTGCGCTCAGTCAAGTCAAATTCTGTGACATTTACCCCCCGAAAAAAGGCTGTGCCTGTTTTTGTACGTGTGTTTGTGCGCCAATTTGGTCGCCGAGCTTCAGAGCCGGTGGCCACATGACTCGCACGCATCCTGATCTCGCAGCACATCCCTTACACGGCGCATATGGGGAGGCCGTGGGGGGTTTTGTTTGAACTACAAAAGATCCCCGTCATGTGCTGACAAGCATGAACCAACAAATGATCGTCACGCATTCATCTGTGTCAACACTTGCATGACACTTTGAGGATTATGCGGACGCATGGGAGGCCCCTCCCTCCTCCATCGTGAAGCGAGCCTTGTTGCAGAACTGGGGGGTTTTTGTGGTGTGTGTGTGTGTGTGTGCGGTACAGTATGGTATGCAGCTTCATTGACTGTAAACAAATGCACAATTAAAAAAAAAAAAAAAGCTGAGGTTACATTGCGACTTGGATGTGTCACTGCACCACGGCATGATAAATAAAACCGCATCTGGTGTACCCCCTGAGCATACAATTGATCAAGGCAAGTGCAAAAGTGTTGTGACATTGGATCGGGTCATTCGTGTGTGTGTGTGTGTGTGGGCGTGTGTGTGTGTGTGTGTGTGTGTGTGGGTGTGTGTGTGTGTGTGTGTGTGTGTGTGTGTGTGTGCAAGCGCACGCTCAGCAGGTTAAATGAGGACAGACAGTGCCTGAAGAAGCGCCCGGCTCTCGACTGTTTCTCTCTCTCCATTCTCACTTAGTGACAGAAGCATTTTCCATTCAGGCCTTCATCTCCCCCCCTTGCAGTCAGGATTTCGGGGCTTTTAATGCGAGCGTTGTAATCGTTGTCTGATCACGACAACCGTCGTCCTCTTTTTTTGGGCTCGTTTCAAAAGAAGGAATAAGAAGTGGCTATTCCAGCACACAACAAGCAGCACCGGCGGGGCTCGGCTCCGTTTGGGCCCGTGTTCACTTCGGCTGCGAAAACGGTGCCGCGCGGCCACATCGGCCGGAGCCCGCGACGCAATTTAACGACGGCAGAGAACAAGGCTCTCCTGTTTTTGTTTCTTTCTAGGCAAACGGCTGAGGAGAAGGACACAGATTTTATTTCAGGGGTGGGGGATGGGCAAGGCGGATGAAAACTTAAGTTTCTCACCTCATCAAAGTCAGAAGACGCATGAAACGGAAGAAAGATAAGATGCAATAAAACACAACTACATAGAGAAAAAAAGTGTCTCCCTTAAAAAGCGAGATGAAATTCAGCGCCCCGCTCTCGTTTACAAAAACCACACGGCTTGACGCAAAACATTGAGAGAGCAGATCCTAGATGGAGAAGGATGGCGGTGGTTTTTTTTTTGTTTATGATTTACTCCCTTTTTTAGAAGAGCTTTTCATTTGGTGGAAAACGTTGCATTCCAATGCACGTTTTCTACTGGCAGTAATTCCAATCACGGAAACACGGGTCTGCAAATGCTGCTCTAAAAGGACGTCAAAGTGAAAGAAAATCTAATTAGTTCGAGAGAGAAAAAACACGCAGCGCTAATTGCCCTTTGAATAGGAATCAGCAAAGGTGAAATGGTGAGAAATCCCCACCGTTGCCAACGCGAAAGCAGCAACAGCGACTCAATCCGCACAGAATAGACATTACAGGCAAGATACATAGTTGTTGTTTTTTTTTTGTTTTTTTTTTACTTTGTATGTGAAAATGACTTTCTCTGGACGGCACTCATCGTTTTCTTTTCAAATCGCAACAAATATAAACGATTTGAACAAATGGCATTTGTGACAACATTGTCTTTAGTTTGCCTGCTTTGAGCGTCGACACAAAAAGCCACGGCAATGCCAAAAAAAAAAAAAAAAAAAGCACGCCCACATTCCAATTACTTGCAGCGTCAATACGTAGCGAGGCGGTTCAGAACAAAACTCAAGAGTGTGGACGTTGCATTTTTATGGCTCCCGAGATTCTAGTCAGTCAGTAAACCTGAACTGAATGTGCTCGTGGCGAGCGTTTGGCACAGAGGGACGCACTTCACACAACCAAAGGGATTTTCTTTCCCCCCCCCTTCCATGACTGGACTGACCTTTCGGGTTGTAAACCGCCCGCGAGTCTCGGGCGTGCAGACGGCGTGTCGTGGCAAAGGCACGGAGCAAGTATGAGCTGCTCCGCAGCAGTAGCCAGGTGTCACATTGCTCACATCACTTATTTGTCTGGGGTGCC